AAACCCAACATCAGTCAAAAAGCGTTGTCGGTGATGGTGTTGGGCTGTATGCGCTGGGTCTGGCGACGCTGCACCTACATCGGCTCCGACGACATCGATACCTGGGCGTCCACCAACCCTGACGAGTTCCCTCGCATCTGCTGCAATCCCCTTTGTTTTTCCCTTTGCCTTTGCCTCCCATAGGCGGCGGAGGGTGGGGAGAGATGGTGATTTAGAAGCAGCGCAGCATCAGATGGGTGGTAGGATTGAAGGGGTGGACCCACTCTTTTTATATATTTTTTTGATTAAAAATTTATGTTCATTTTAAAATAATTAATTTTATAATTTAGTATTTATCTAAGTGGCACAATTGACTGCCACGTCAGTAAGATATGGGTCCTATATTTGCCACGTTATCAACGGTTAATTTGAAAGAGTGGTTAATGGAGGTTTAACATTGCAATTAATTCGTAAGATGAGGTATGACATTGTAACGTTTAAAATATGAAGTATGAAATTGTGGTGCAACCTATAATTGTGGTAGTTTTGTGTAATTTACCCTTATTTTTATGATAGATACAGAGAGCCAGACATGAATGCAGTGATTCATTTGTCGACTTTGTGTAGGGTAAGCTAGCAGAAGGGAAGGAAATAGCGGTAAAAAGACTATCCAGTACCTCAGGACAAGGTGTAGTAGAGTTCAAGAATGAAATGTTGTTGATCTCCAATCTCCAACACAAAAATCTTGTCAGAATCATGGGTTGCTGCGTTAAAGAGGACGAGAAGTTACTGATTTATGAGTTCATGCCAAACAAAAGCTTGGATACTTTTCTTTTCGGTTAGTTTCACTTGCACTTTACTGCAGTTTCTTATCTTTACATTCTAGCCGGTGTATTGATTGATTATTTGATGATCAGATTCGACGAGAAGAGCAGTGCTTGATTGGGGTACACGTTTCAATATTATTCAAGGTGTTGCTAGAGGGCTTGTTTATCTCCATCATGATTCCTATTTGAAGGTAATACATAGAGATCTAAAAGTGAGCAACATTCTCTTGGATGAGAAAATGAACCCAAAAATTTCAGATTTTGGATTGGCACGTGTGGTTGAAGGGACACAGAATTTAGAAAATACTCAGAGAATTGTGGGAACGCGGTAAGATTCATGCCTTTCCTATATATTCTTGAACATGTCATACGCAACCAAAGTTCTAATGGTTAGCATTGCATCATGATTCATGAACTCTTAACCGACTCCTGTTTTGGATAAAAACTGCTAATTAGTTGCATCGTTCACATTAGATATAGTTTTGGTAATGTTGTTCTTAAAAGGCAGAAACCAAGCACTTATTTCAGCGATATATATACTAATGAGTTTCATGTTCGCGCAGTGGATATATATCTCCAGAGTATGCCATGGGTGGAATATTTTCTCAAAAATCTGATGTCTATAGCTTTGGGGTCTTGGTATTGGAGATTATTAGCAGCAAGAAGAATACTGCCTTCTTTATCTATGATCGACAGCTAGGCTTACTAGCCTATGCATGGCAGTTATGGAAGGAAGGCAGGGAATTGGAGTTGGTAGATGAAATGTTGGCGGCTGATTCATATTCGGCTCCAGAAGTAATGAAATGTGTGCATATAGGGCTGCTTTGTGTACAGGACAATCCGACGGATAGGCCGAGCATGCCGGATGTAATTTTTATGCTAAATGGTTCCACAAATGTAATTGGTGGTCCACAACCTAAACAGCCTCTATTCACAATCCAAAACTCAGTCTCTCATCCTCAACCACAGCCTTCGAATAATGACGCTACAATGACAATGATTAATGAAGGACGCTAAATGTAATTGGGATTTGCTGATCTATGTGAATTTGGGTTGTGTTTGCTAGGATTTGTAGTCACTTCGTATTATTTGTAGTTTACTTTCTTTGGATGGTGCTTAGCTAAGCTTGGCCAATCCTGCTTGCTTATGCGGCAAGATGCTGAAACTGTAGTTATATTTTTTATTTGGAGGGAATTAGAGAGGATTAGTTATGAAGGAAATTCATCTTTGTAATCCTACATTATGGAGAGATTGAAACTCATAAGTTTTCTTTATGAGTAATTGATCTTTTACATTTTAGGTGGATATAAATTTTTACCTAAATTTAGCGGTGTATCCATTTCGATATAATTTTAGATATCAAAAGAGGCTTTAATATGGCGACTGTTGAACTATAAACTATGGTGGTTAGTGCAACAGCATGGTTGCCTAAACTATGGTTGTTAGGCCCTTAGGCCCTTTTTCAACTACAACCTAAATAGCTTCGTACGTGATCAGTTTGGTGGAAGTTGGAACACCAGAGAAAGGAGCTCAATGATTGTAGAGCTGAAGTCACTGCATTGTATATCGTTCTGGAAGGAATATGGGAGGTGCTGATGCTGATCAAATCCAATCTCTGTCCTTGGAAAGATAAGGAAGAAATTATATCATTGCAGATGGAACTAGAAAGTTTAAAATCCAAAACCACAAAAGCTCATGATTTTTCAGAGACCACCAATTTTGAAAAAGAGTCTGTGCAAATGGAAGAAAAGGTCATTGCCGTCGATGAAGATAAAAGTGTAATCCCACCAGTTGATGTAGAATCGAGAGTTGTGGAAAAGGAAGATCAGTCTCTGGCTGCTCAAAGTTTTCATGATAACACAGTTGAACCGAAGGAAGTTTCACATGAGGTCTCTGTCGGTGTTTTAAGTCATAGTAGTACCTTGGTGACTGGTGATAGCGTCTCCAAACAAAATGATGAACCATCATTAGGCAGGAGCCTACATCTAACGTCAGAGAATCTTAGTCCTGAAAATGTTTCCGAGAAAAGGGTGTTGGAGTTTGAATGAAATTTCAACTCAAATGTGGGGTATTGTTGGAACTTTGAGTAGTTTGAGTAAAAATTTCTTTGTCTCACATTGGTCATTCCTAAAAGATTTTATCACTTTATAAGGTTTTGTCTTTTATAAAAAGTGATTGGAGTAATAGATCTGGAGACTAAAATTGGGCTCACCTTTGAAGTTGAGCTTTGGGATGTATTAATTAATTGGTAATTAATATAGGCTTTGGGGTGTATTAATTAATTAGTAATTAATATATAATTAATTATCAAAAGATGGGCCTTGAACTCGGGCTCTAATAATTAAATTATTTAATTAATTATTTTTCGGATTTAATTAAATATTTTAATTAAATTCGAATTTAATTAATTAATTATTTTTTATGAAAAGACTCATCATTTCAGATGAAGTCTGAGAGTTCTTTCTGAACACAGAGCAAAGCATCCCTTTGAAGAGATGTCTCCCAACAGTCACACTCCATTCTCATACCTGTTGCAAACAGGCATCCATCTGCTATATATACATCCATTTGCATGGCATTTAGAACACAGAAAATAATCAACTTTATCCTCTACATTCCTAAACCTTCTTACTGAGAGAACCACACTAAATTCGCCAGAAGTTAAAATTTTCGATGCTGGAATTTTAACTTGATCGTTGAATCCTGGTAAAGCAGACGTCCATAGAACTACAAACACAGAGTAGGAACGAAATTTCTGTTTCAAGGACATTGCGGTACACAAGCCTCGATCTTCAAGTTGTCTGTTTTTATAATTCGTATTCTAGTTTATATTCTGTTAATTCTTATTGCATTTATTATTTATTAGCATATATAAATTATCACAGATTGTTGACAAATATCCAACAAATGGCAAGTTTCTTCTACATTTCTTTTATTGCATCAATGCCTTTATAGGAGGACCGGATTAGACATGTTTTTTTTTCTTCCAGGGTTGGCTCTTCTTTTGATATCTACGGTGGCACATCCCTTTTTCTTTTCGTTTTGGATGGGATACCCATCTAAATTTTGAATAATAGAACATAGAATGATTTTTTAGAAGCTTTGGAACTGCCTTTCCCTTCTATTCCTTTTCTAAAGTTATGCTTATATTTTACCGGGCCTAGAGACCATTCAGATCCTTGCTGATGCTTTGCCGAAGATTGTTCCATATGTTTTGATCAACCATCGGGAGGTTTGCTTCTTTTAACTTTTCATATGTACATATATATTATTTCTCCCGTCCTTCACGGCAGCCCGCCCAGTCTATCACGCTTCAAGTCTATACACATGGCGCAACCTCAGTTATCTGTGTGGCTTGTTTGTCCAAATTCAAAATCATGCGACTACTGGTCAACCTTCTAGTTGATCTCCCATGGCACTTTATCAATTCTCTTGTTCTGGCTTCGCCATCACTCATATAGGATGCGTAACTTATGGATCATGTTGATTAACTAGTAGGCATGCACTGCCAATCAAACAGCTGTAACAACGATATATTCTACTTTAAAATGGAAATTGGTATTGGGTTAGATCATACATTGGGTCAGATACTAATTACGTATTGGACTGAAACAAATACAATATGTGCTCGTTATCCATATCATTCGAATATAAGATCTCTCAATTAGAGAAAAATATTACTAAATCTTAGTACTAGTTAGTTAACCAAACTGTATGATCAATCAACTCAACTCATTATCCATATCATTTGAATATAACTCTATTTTGTTCATTCATTTTATCATTATATGAAAATGTGTCGACAAACCATTTACATGGTATGGGATCAGTGATTAAAACTACGTGACAATACGTTATACTCCCATTAAAGAAAGTATGTCTCTCATCATCCCCTTCTTTCTATATCCCTCATTTCTTCTATGTTTTTTTTTTTCCTATTTTTAACACAAAAATATAAAAATAAAAATAAAAAAACGAATTAATTATTAAACGGTGGTTAGTTTTACGGATTAAAACTGAATTTGTTAGTCATTGTAGGTCAATGATGATACCTAAACCAGTCCAAGACCAAATACTATTCCTTGTCTATTTATTATTACTTTATTAGTTTGCGCGTTCGTTTTAATAGTCAGCGTTGAACTTAGACCCGCAATTACTACTCATGCAAAAGATCAGACAGGTTGGGCAAGCTACAAGCCTATGTACAGCCCCCCTTGGCTTGGCACCTAAGTTTATCATGAAATCATAAGTTCAAGCTAATTAGCAACAAGCAGGCAATTAAGATATATTCAACGACGATGATGAAGAGCCAAGTAGCTTCCCTTCTCGGCCTCACCATGGCCATCCTCTTCTTCTCAGGTATTATTATACAAACTTCTTATTAATTTTTTTTCTATTTTGTTTCGTATTAGTCTATAATATGCATGCCTGCCGGATGCAAATATTAGAGAAGGGTTGACTCCAACAGTGTATGGGATGAGGGAATTTGAGAGTGTAGAAATGATCCAGATCAAAATGTTTTGATCATTTTCAAACCATGTCACATACTGAGGATTAAGAGTAGAGGTGCGATTTCCAAACGAATCAAGAAGAAATTTGGGCGGAGCAGTCATCGTGCCGTCAATAATTCCAGTGAGATTATATCGGCGAAAGATCGAAGCAAACAATGCACTTCATGTGAGATAGTTCATTGTGGTGAGCTTAATTGGAACCATAGATCTAATATTCTGGATCGTAATCGAAGAAATTGCCTAAGGAGTTGAGGAATTAGGGCAAGAATTCATAGGAGCATGATGAATTTGAGAAACAGATTTAAAGGAGGGAGATCCAGGGGTCGCCATGGTTGGATTTTTAGGGTTTGGAGCTTCAAAGAGGAAGACAAGCGGGAAGCGGAAGAAGGGAGGATCGAAAGCTCGTTAGGCACGGGCGAGAAATAAGGAATAAGATTACATGTTGGTGTATATATACTAGTGACTAACTCACTTGTATTAACAACTAATTATATCTTGTCTAACTAATCACTAAGTAATTACAAAACTGTTACAACTACTTTATAACAAACTCAACGATCTTGAGTAGACTTGTTTACAATATTACCCTTATTACGCTTTACATTGTAACAACGTTAAAAGCGACGGTAAGGAGTCTAAAAGAGAATAACGATCGATGATGAGTAATGCGGATACATAAAAGTGAGCCGGCCAATGCAGTGATGAGATCATGAGAATAGATAAATCATCATCAAAGTATATTTATAATAAAATTACTAATTAGTTATGAAAAAGTTCTTAAAATGATTTCAAATCAGTTATTTATTTATGGGGAATGCTAGGGAGACTAAATTTGTAGACAAAATTTTGGAACTAAAGAACATGGAAGTTGATGATTGGTTTATTACTTAAGCGTTAATAAACGTGTTGATTCATATTAGTGACACATCATTTAATTTACAAATTTTGCCAACAAATTTAGTCTCGCTAGCATTACCCTTTATTTATTTCTAATTTGATATATTTTACAATTGTATTTAGATTTCAATATTCTTACATCTAGTTTTATGTTGAATATAAATTCAGGTGCACATGCAGCCAAAATCACTTTCACAAACAACTGCCCCAACACTGTCTGGCCAGGAACCCTAACCGGTGACCAAAAACCTCAATTATCACTCACCGGGTTCGAATTAGCATCCAAAGCTAACCGGTCAGTGGACGCTCCATCCCCATGGTCCGGTCGCTTCTGGGGCCGAACCAGATGCTCCACAGATGCCGCTGGAAAATTCTCTTGTGAAACTGCAGACTGTGGCTCTGGCCAAGTCGCATGCAACGGCACAAGCGCAGCTCCACCAGCAACTGTAGTAGAAATTAAAATCTCAGAAAAATGGGGACAAGATTTGTACGATGTTACTCTTGTTGACGGCTTCAACTTACCCATTTCCGTCGCCCCACAAGGCGGCACCAGCGAGTGCATGGCCTCGACTTGCGATGCGAATGTTAACGCAGCATGCCCGGCTGAGTTACAAGTGAAAGCGGTTGATGGGAGTGTCATCAGTTGCAAAAGCGCTTGCATGGCATTCAACGAGCCGAAGTACTGCTGCACTGCGTCGAATGATACATGTCAACCCACAGAGTACTCTCAGATCCTTGAGCAGCAGTGCCCTATAGCTTATAACTATGCTTATTTATCCTGCAATGGCGGACCTGACTACATCATTAGATTCTGCCCATATGGTATGTCTACTCGCAGCCACAATAAAAAGAAGGATTCTTTAGATGTAGACCTTGCAACTCTTATTCCCTAGATAAAAACCCACCTAATTCTAAACATCCAAATAAAACCTAAATTTGAAATAGATTACCAAGTAAAAAAGTAATTGACCTATTATTACAAAATATTTACAACTTGTGCCACAATATTCAAATCAAATCAATAAATGTTATTACTCACCTTAATTATAATGAACAAATAATTATTGCACATACTATTACCCCAACATACACACACACACACACACATATATATAGACACACATACGTCAAAAGTATATAGTACTATCATAAGTTCAATATATATATAATTTACCAATATGTACTACTATACGTCTTACCTATATATGTAAATTTATGATTAGCAAATAATATATATTTTGTAGGTAAATTAATAATGAATCAAATAACATTCTTTTATTTTTGTAGGTAACTTATTGTTCATATATTATTACATATATTTGACACATTTTATTATTATAAGATATGTACAAATAATAGGTAAATTAACTTCGAATCAAATAACCTTGCTTTATTTTGTAAGTAAATTAATTTTGAATCAAATAGCATTCATTTGTTATGTAGGTATTTTATTTTGTATGTATCAATATCATATATATATATATATATATATATATATATATATATATATATATATATATATTTGACACATTTTATTATGTAGGTAAATTATTTTAGTTGTATTTTGCATATATTGGGTTTGTTATTATGTAGGTAAATTATTTTTCATGTATTTTACATATCTTGGGTAAATTTTTTTTTAAGCAATCTAACATTTTAAAATTTTAATAGTAGGTGCACTATTTGAATCAAATGTTTTTATTTTTTGTAGGTCAATTATTTTACATGAATTTTAAATATATCAGGCATTTGTACATATATATATATGTATATGTATATGTATATGTATATGTATATGTATATGTATATGTATATGTATATGTACATGTACATGTATATGTATATGTATATATGTGTATGTGAAATAATTTATCCAAATTAATATGTAAAATATAATTTTATTGACTTAATTAAGCATGTATAATAACATATATTAGACATGTTTTATGTTATTATATATTAGGCAATGAATTTATAACGTTAGTGTTTTTTTTTTTTTTTTTGTAAAATCATTAATTTTTCCTTACAATATGCATGCCATTAATTATGTACATCAAACATCCAAATAGGGTTTATCAATAAAAAAAAAATTCAAATAGGGGTATTTTAGGCTTTAAATGTGTGAAGTCAAACATAATTAATGAATTTGTTGATATGGAATCTAGTCAATAGGTTTTATTCAAGTAAAAAATCTATGTCGGGTTTTATGTAGAGAAAATTAAATTTTAAGGGCTAAAGTTATATTTTCAGTAAAAAGAATGTGACAACTATGGAACATGTGGACCTTTTGGAGTTTGCAAAGCTTCTGGATCACCAATCTGCAAGTGCTTGAAAGGGTTTGTTGAATTTTTCAGGTCAAGGGGCTGAGCCATTAATTATGTACATCAAACATCCAAATAGGGTTTATCAATAAAATAAAAAAAATTCAAATAGGGGTATTTTAGGCTTTAAATGTGTGAAGTCAAACATAATTAATGAATTTGTTGATATGGAATCTTGTCAATAGGTTTTATTCAAGTAAAAAACCTATGTCGGGTTTTATGTAGAGAAAATTAAATTTTAAGGGCTAAAGTTATATTTTCAGTAAAAAGAATGTGACAATTATGGAACATGTGGACCTTTTGGAGTTTGCAAAGCTTCTGGATCACCAATCTGCAAGTGCTTGAAAGGGTTTGTTGAATTTTTCAGGTCAAGGGGCTGAGGGACTCACTCTACCAACACCGTCCCCACTCTACCAAGTGCCCAATCCATCAGGTGCAAAGTTTTATCACAAAAAACTTCAATATTAGTTAGAGTGAGATAATTCTATTTAAATTGCTTTTCTTCTTTCCCTCTAGCCGATGTGGGATTCAACAGGTTTGTACCCAATTCAGACGGGAAATGGAGCAGAGGAAATTGGCGGGAGGGTGTGTGTGGGAAACCAAATCGTTTTGTGAGAGAGACAAATAAGTTAGTCACGTTGAGAGGAAAAGAAAATGATGATGATGATGGGTTTCTGAAGCTGGTAGGGTTCAAAGTACCAGATTCTCATGAGTTTGTGTCTTTGGATTATGACAGCACATCCGCTGACTGCAAGACAGTGCGCCTAAATAATTGTTCTTACCAAGCGTAAGTGTTTATAAAACACGGTGTTTGGTCTGGTCCAAACACCTCATTCATGTGGAGAAGTTTCCCTCTGATGGCGTAGATGTTTATATTCACCTAGCACGCGCAGAACCAGCGGATGAACTAATGATACTAGTGCTTGAAGCCTATTTTTTGGTTCAAAAGTATTTGAAGCCTTGAACAACTCTAATTATCAAGCCGTAACTTTTCTTTTTCTATATATCTCATCTTGTTTTTGTTTTATAAATTTTTCAGGTAAAGGAATGCCAATAAAGTTAATTGTGAGCCTTACAGTTGTTTGTTTTATCGGTGTATTGGGTGCCATAGTGTTCGGTTTGTGCAGGATGAGAGCTAAGCAAAAAGGTAATTAAGTGAAAGAGATCGAGGTGTTGGATTAATATAATGCATTGGCACATCATCTCTCTCAAAACTTTGTTGGTTGTTTCACTTGGATTCAGTGTTCGATGTTTATAATTGCAAAATCAGGACGCATCAAATTAACAAGGGACATCCTACAAGAATATATAGGAGGAAAACATGATCTGTCTGAGCTACGGATCTATGGATTTGATAGCATATTAGTTGCTACGGACAATTTCAGCACAGAAAACAAACTTGGGCAAGGAGGATTTGGTCCAGTTTATAGGGTAATTACTATTATTATTATTTTTACGATAGATACAGAGAGACATGAATGCAGTGATTTATTTGTGGACTTTGTATAGGGTAAGCTAGCAGAAGGGAAGGAAATAGCAGTAAAAAGACTATCCAGTACCTCAGGGCAAGGTGTAGTAGAGTTCAAGAATGAAATGTTGTTGATCTCCAATCTCCAACACAAAAATCTGGTCAGGATCATGGGTTGCTGCGTTAAAGAGGACGAGAAGTTATTGATTTATGAGCTCATGCCAAACAAAAGCTTGGATACTTTTCTTTTCGGTTAGTTTCACTTGCACTTTACTGCAGTTTCTTATCTTTACATTCTAGTCGGTGTATTGATCTATTATTTGATGATCAGATTCGATGAGAAGAGCAGTGCTTGATTGGGGTACACGTTTCAATATTATTCAAGGTGTTGCTAGAGGGCTTGTTTATCTCCATCATGATTCCTATTTGAAGGTAATACATAGAGATCTAAAAGTGAGCAACATTCTCTTGGATGAGAAAATGAACCCAAAAATTTCAGATTTTGGATTGTCACGTTCGGTTGAAGGGACACAGAATTTAGAAAATACTCAGAGAGTTGTGGGAACGCGGTAAGATTCATGCCTTTCCTGTATATTCTTGAACATGTCATATGCAACCAAAGTTCTAATGGTTAGCATTGCATCATGATTCATGATTCATGAACTCTTAACCGACTCCTCCTGGTTTGGATAAAAACTGCTAATTAGTTGCATCGTTCACATTAGATATATTTTTGGTAAAGTTGTTCTTAAAAGGCAGAAACCAGGCACGTATTTCAGCGACATATATACTAATGAGTTTCATGTTCACGCAGTGGATATATGTCTCCAGAGTATGCCATGGGTGGAATATTTTCTCAAAAATCTGATATTTACAGCTTTGGGGTCTTGGTATTGGAGATTATTAGCAGCAAGAAGAATACCGCCTTCTATATCTTTGATCGACAGCTAGGCTTACTAGCCTATGCATGGCAGTTATGGAAGGAAGGCAGGGAATTGGAGTTGGTAGATGAAATGTTGGCGGCTGACTCATATTCGGCTCCAGAAGTAATGAAATGTGTGCATATTGGGTTGCTTTGTGTACAGGACAATCCAACGGATAGGCCGAGCATGCCGGATGTAATTTTTATGCTAAATGGTTCCACAACTGTAATTGGTGGTCCAGAACCTAAGCAGCCTCTATTCACAATCCAAAACTCAGTCACTCATCCTCAACCACAGCCTTCGAATATTTTCCCCACAAATGAAGCTACAATGACAATGATTGAAGGACGCTAATTGCATGCTCGTGACAGTGGTGGAGGTTGGGATTTGCTGATCTATGTGAATTTGGGTTGTGTTTGCTTTCTTTTGATGGTCCTTAGCTAAGCTTGGCCAAACCTGCTTGTATCTGCACCCTTATGTTTGTGACCGAAGTAAGACTACTTCCTAGATGTTTTTGAGTCACCCTTCCGGACCCCATATATGTCCTTTGTGGATGGATTTTGTGAAAGCAATTTCTACTCGGATAATTAAAAAAATAAAATGAAACTGTAGTTATATTTTTATTTGGAGGGAATTAGAGAGGATTAGTTATGAAGGAAATTCATCTTTGTAATCCGACATTTATGGAGAGATTGAAACTCATCAGTTTTCTTTATGAGTAATTGATCTTTTACATTTTTGGTGGACATAAATTTTTACCTTAATTTAGTGGTGTATCTATTTCAATCTAATTTTAGATATGAAACGAGCCGTTAATATAGCAACTGTTGAACTATAAACTATGGTTGTTAGTGCAACAGCATGGTTGTTAGGCCCTTAGGCCCTTTTTCAACTACAACCTAAACAGCTTCGTACGTGATCCTTTTGGTGGAAATTGGATGAACCGACACGATCTAGTTTTTGAGGCCGTTAAAATCTGTATGTCTTTTCTTGTTGGGAAACGCTTGTACTTCAGTAATTTGGCTAGTTGTAGCAGATAAGCCCAAACAATAAAAATCACAAGTGGAGCCAGAGGAGAAGAAAAGTCACACGTGCATATTTCTCAATGTGCACCGTGCTTTTCCTTAGTTTCTGCTTTTTTTTGCAGCAACACTTGTTATGGATGAGTACTTTCTCGGCTCAAGACTTGACGTTAATTAGTTAATTACTGAAACATTGCAAGTTCTACTACAATGTAGGATTTTTTTTTTCTTTTTCTAAACTCAACATAAATACTTTGCTATATTCAAGAGAAATTTTCCATGCTCTGAGAAAATGAGTCGTTATCTAAAGAAAATGAGAGTCTACATCTTGAAAAGCTATCCTTACTGAAAAACAAAGATTTGGCTGAAGGCCAAATAAGTACACTAGGCAAATCATTGGAAGCTCTTCAGAAGGACCTTGTAAGTCCCTTTACTACACTGCATTGAGATGTTATCTAATGAAAAATCATTTGTAAGAAAATAATACACCCTTTATTTCACGTACAAGATTTGAAGCAGTCCTTGGAACACCAGAGAGAAAGGAGCTCAATGATTGTAGAGCTGAAGTCACTGCATTGAAAATGCACATTGAAGGATATCGTTCTCGAAGGAATATGGGAGCTGCTGATGCTGATCAAATCCAACCTCTGTCCTTGGGAAGTTACAAGGAAGAAATTAAATCATTGCAGATGGAACTAGAAAGTTTAAAATCCAAAAAACACAAAAGCTCATGATTTTTTAGAGACCACCAATTTTGAAAGAGTCTGTGCAAATGGAAGAAAAGGTCGTTGTCGTTGAAGAAGATAAAAGTGTAATCCCACCAGTGATGTAGAATCGAGAGTTGTAGAAAAGGAAGAAGATCAGTCTCTGGCTGCTCAAAGTTTTCATGATAACACAGTTAAACCGAAGGAAGTTTCACATGAGGTCTCTGTCGGTGTTTTAAGTGATAGTAGTACCTTGGTGAATGGTGATAGCGTCTCCAAACAAAATGATGAACCATCATTAGGCAGCAGCCTACATCTAACGTCAGAGAATCTTAGTCCTGAAAATGTTTCTGAGAAAGGGGCAAGTTTCTTTTACATTTCTTTTATTGCATCACTGCCTCTATAGGAGGTCAGGATCAGAAATGTTTTTCTTTTCTTTTGGTATCTACCCTCGCACATCCCTTTTTCTTTTCTTTTTGGATGGGACATCCATCTAAATGTTGAATAATAGAACATAAAGTGATTTTTTAGAAGCTTTGGAACTGCCCTTCCCTTCTATTCCTTTTTTAAAGTTATGCTTATATTTTACAGGACCTAGAAACCATTCAGATCCTTGCTGATGCTTTGCCGAAGATTGTTCCTTATGTTTTGATTAACCATCGGGAGGTTTGCTTCTTTTACTTTTCCTAATAAACATATGTACATATATATTATATATATGTGTGTGCGTGTGTGTATTATTATTATCTATTGTATGTATGGACATCATATTCTATTTAAGTTTTCTACATAAGGATCTTTAAATTGATCCTTTAATAGAAGGATTATTTTTATTTTATTTTATTGGTTATGTATTCACAGGAGCTTCTTCCCCTAATCATGTGTGCGATTGAACGCCATCCAGATAGCTGCACTTGGGATTCCTTAACCCACACATTGTTCGATCTAATCAAACGCCCAGATGAGCAGCAGAGAAGAAGAAAAAAAAGCAGAGAAGAATTATAATGGATGTAGGCTAATATTCAAACTACCACATTATTTGTAATATAGCTGCATTGTTTGGACTTGTTCCTGAATCTTTGAACTGCATTTCAGGCATGTGTTAACCTTGCTAAGAATGTAGGAGAGATGAGAACAGGAACAGAATTGGTTCCCCAGTGTTGGGAACAAGTAAGTTTGAGCCCCGCCTTGAGAGAAGAGGATCGTGTCTAACCTTTTCATATTTCTGATATGATAAGTTTTTCTTATGTTTCTCCGGTTTGTGGGTTGCAGATAAATCTTATGTATGAGGAACGCAGGCTGCTAGTTGCTCAATCATGTGGAGAGTTTGCAGAGTTTGTCTGGCCTGAGATTCGTGATTCTCTTATACGTAATCTCACATTGCTGCTTCCACTCTTCCCGACCATGGACACATATTTCAAGGTCAGCCTCACTAATATGCTTCAGAGGCTCTCATGGAGAGGAATTCTCACTTAACAGAAATGGCTACAATGTAAGCTCTAGAACAGGTTGATGCCACATGGTCTAGGGAATGGAGAATTTTTCCTCATAATAATGTGACTGACAAGAAATAAATGGATAAAGTAGTCGAGGATATGTTTCTCCAATATTTTACTGTATTTTTATTTATAGGTCGAGGAATTGATGTTCCAATTGGTCTGTGATCCCTCTGGAGTGGTGGTGGAAACGACGCTTAAGCAATTAGTCCCTGCAGTAAACAAGTGGGGAAACAAATTAGACCATATCTTAAGAGTTCTACTCTCATATATCAAGCTCTGTTCAGGTCAGTTTGTGTTTAATTATATTTTCCACTTATGACTATGGTCTCTCTAATAATACTTTCTTTAATTTGCATCCTTGTGACATTGCAGCGCTGTCCTCCTCTTTCGGGCGTTGAAGGTTCTGTGGAGTCACATCTTCATGTTTTAGGTGAACGAGAACGCTGGAATGTTGATGTTTTACCACGAATGCTAGAGGAAATTCTTCCATATGTGCACCAGAAAGCAATTGAGATGTGCCCAGTTTCTTCTGATCCCGAAACAGCTGGAACAATATTTTCCAAATCTTTCCTTGAATTGTATGCAGGGTAAGCTTTTTTCTCTTTTTTCCTTTTTTTTTAAATTTTAATTTTACTTTGTTATATATTCTTTTTTCAGGCCTGTCTACTATTTTCGGACAGAACATAGCCGTTTGACTTTTGTCTTTAGGTATTGATATTGTTAAATTGATTTACTATAACTCTTGAGAATTTTGTTATCTCGGTAGTGGACATGTTCAATTGCCTGCATTTGAGTGGCTACATGTCGACTGCTTTCCTGCTTTAATACAGCTCGCATGTTTGTTACCTCCAAAAGAGGACAATTTGCGAAGCCAAATCACCAAGGTATCTTTCTCTATCTATGATGTCTTTTTTATATTACATCATCAACAATACTTTATTAATTGTTTCTGATGTAAATGTTGGTAATGCAGTTTCTATTGGCTGTATCAGAACTCTACGGGGATTCTTATTTGACACACATAATGCTGCCTGTATTCTTGTTAGCTGTTGGGGAAGAAGCTGAATTGACATTTTTCCCATCCGCAACGCATTCCGGAATCAAAGGTAATAACTTTAAAGTTACTTGAAATCCTTTCACACCGGTGTTGCGTGTGCTCTTAATTGTGGATATATTATTATCTACATAACAGGTTTGAGGCCAAGAACGACTGTGGCTAAGAGATTGGCTACTATGTGTGTCCTACCTCTTCTCTTGGCTGGTGTTTTGGGTGGTCCAAGTAAGCATGAACAATTGGTCGAGTATCTGAGAAAGTAATTAGTTGAAGGTGTCGCAAATCAATCTACGAAGTGCAGTGCTGAGATTGTTGATGCTGTTCGCTTCCTTTGGCTGGTAAAGCAATAAATACCCTTTACGACTAACTTTTTGATACTTAATTTTGACTGAAGGGTTTTCCATAATGCAGCACATTGGAAGATCACCACAGTATGATATTCTTATAGGAGTTAAAATTGTAGACATTATGAACAGTATATAGGTAATTTGATGGAACTATATCTAATAAATTAGGGCAAAAGACTGTTTACTACTCTCATGTTTCGTGGTTTTCAACATTTGGTACATGAAGTTTTTTCCATCCCAGAGTCATACCTCAAGTCTTAATTTTGGAACAGTTTCATACATCCGTTAAGTTTTCCGTTACAATTTCTGTTAACTGATGACGTGGCGTCCACGTGGACAATAATTGAGCGCCACGTGTCAATATGGGTCCACTTCAATATTAAAAAATTAAAATAAAATAAAAAAAACCCACCCTCCCTCTTCCCCGATCCCTCCCTCTTCTCTTTCCGCCATCTTCATCTTGTCCATCTTCACAAAAAAAAAATATATATATATATATATATATATATATATATTAATTTGTATAAATTCAATCTCCTTTTTGTTATTTCTATCAAATCTGAGAAAACCCAATTTGTGAATTTGATTAAAACAGGAATGGCAGCACTTGGGTTGGGCACATATGGCGCCCATGGCTTCAAACCCCAACACCCAACTTACAAAGAGGTTCATCCTTTATTTCCCGTTTGATTTTAACTCATATTTTTCAGTGTTTTATGTTCAATTTTTGAATTTTCTGGGATTTGATTTTGTTGCAAATAATGGGTTAGGTATGGCAGACGGCGTCTCTGTACCATTTGGTTCACACAGCAGCTCTGCTTGCTGCCCCCATCACGAAACACCCCACCATTGTGAGTTAAAAAGCCAAAGGAGAGTCGCATTCCAAGTCTGTCATGGGCTGAAACAAATCTCAGGCCGAGAAAAACGGAGCCATTCCCAGGTGGCGGAGTCGGCGATGGTGTTGTGTGGGCGAGGACCAATGCGGAGCTGGAGATTGATGGGCCGTCGAGCCCTAGCAGCAGTGGGTATGCTGGCGACCACCAACACCACTACGAAGGCCGTGGGGATTGTGAAAATTCTGGGGACTCGGGCTCTGTTGTTCTCAAATATGGTGGGGGAGAGGGATGAGGTGGGTCAAAGAGGTGAAGAGGGAGGAGTGAGAGGGATCGGAAAAGAGAAGAGGGAGGGATCGGGAACGGGAAAGAGAAGAGGGAGGGAAGCCGCCATGCGAGCCCATCGCGAGCTCCCGGCCGATGGTCTTGAGCTGCTCCATTGATGATTGAGGGTTTGAATGTTAGTTGGATGTAGAATTGGGGGTGTGAATTTGGGGGAATTAATTAGTGAATTTCCATTGCATGAAGAAATAGAGGGAGAGGTTTTAGGGGAGAAGGGGGTGCTCGGGTGGAGAAGACGAAGGGGGTGGAGGGGTGCTCGAGTGGAGGGAGGTGGGGATTCTGGGGAGAAGAAGAAGAAGAAGAAGAAGAGAGTGAGAAAACAAAAAAATAATAAAAAATTCCACGTCACCTCTGAAGAGAAGAAAGAAAGAAAGAAAAAATTCCACGTGGACCTATTAATGACACGTGGCGCACAGTCATTGTCCACATGGGCGCCACATCATCACTTAACGGGAGACTTAACAGTTTGACTAACAGATGTATGAGATTGTCCCAAAATTTACACTTTAGGTATGACTCTGGGACAAAAAAAATTTGATGTACTAAATGTTGAAAACCACGAAACATGAGGGTAGTAAACAGTCTTTTGCCCAATAAATTATAAAACCAAAACAGTTTCCTACATTCTTTAGTTTAAACTTATTAAAGTGTGGCTTTAATTTTACATATTATCCAATGCTACGGTGTTTAACCGTTAAATTTGATTTACACAACTGTTTTGGTCATTCATTCTCGTATCATTAACTATTACGTTCTATTATTATGAATATTTGTAATCATACACACACACACACACACATATATGGTATACTTTCTCTTCTATTTGTCTTGAGTGCAAAATTTTGTTATTCCTTCAGTCCAAGTATATTGTAGGTTTGGAGTTTTTTGACCCGTTTATCCTACATGAACCGACACAATTATAACAGGTTTCGGGTCACTATGTTAATGAGTCGGGCCGTTAGCCGTACTCGTTAAGAGCTAACTAACAAGTCAGGTTGTTATCGAGTCATCCATTAAGAACCTGATGAGATAATAGAACGTAAGTCTTTAAAATAATGGGTATGACACAAAATGACACGAACACAACCGGTTTGTTAGGCCTAATATATTGTGCATCCACTTTCTCGAAATAATTAATGCTAGTTGTTCTCCACTTAAACGCACCAAATTTTCCCAAGTTTAGTTTCCCAATTAATCATTGTTACGATCCCACTTCGGCTACATAAGTAATTGTGTAGTGATACTTAAGTCATTGAGGTCCTCCCTCCTATCAGGCTAGTCTTTTAGGTTGGGCTCTTCCCTTGGGCTTGAGTCCTAACACAGATTCCTTACTCAACTTGCATGTTGAATAGCTATGAAGATGAACACAAGAAAGGGAAAATGAGCAGACCTCCTGAGATATTTTTGGAATAATGTTTTCTTTTTTATAAAATGATTCATAACATCCACATATCACTGGTTGGCAATATATACCCTTAATTCTTTGCTAGGTGGTATAACTACTCACAAAGGACAAAAGGAAATAACTAATTCATAACTAATCCTTTATCAAACTACTAATGCAATAATCCTAAGTGTGATTAAGGTAATCACAATTACAGATCATAACATTTCCCTCCCTTTGTAAAAGAACCTTGTCCTCAAGGTTAAATCAAAGCTAAAACTCAGGGAACCTCACAGTGAAGTTATCAAAGTCTTCCCAAGTAGAGTCATCATTGCTGCATTCGTCCCATTACACCAATAACTGAACTCCGGCAATGTTACCCTTCTTATACATTCGCCTCTGCAACATAGCAACATGAATTGGTTGAGAAAGTCCATCATCTTGCACCGTAGGTAACATGGTTGTTGGCAGTACATTGGCTCCCAAATGTTTCTTCAAGCAGCTCACATGGAACACAAGATGCAATTTACAATGAGCTGGTAATTGGAGTTTGTATGCAACTTTTCCCACCTTAGCATTAACAACATAAGGGCCATAAAATCTGAGTTGCAGCTTGTGGTAAGAGTGAGAAAGACAAGGACTGAAGTTGGTATGGAATTAGTTTAAGGTAAACCAAATCCCCGACTTCGAATTCTCTCTCTGTCCTGTGCTTATTAGCCTGAGTTTTCATTCGATTTCTTGCCACTTCTAAATTGTTTTTCAACATAGGGAAAAGCCTATCCCTTTCCACCAATTGTTCCTCAACAAGCTCGACCTGAGCAGTGCCATATTCATAGGGGGTAGGGTGAGGAGGAGGGTAACCATAAACCACTTCAAAAGGTGTAAACTTGGAAGAGGTGTGATAGGAGGTGTTGTAACTCCATTCAGCCCAACTGAGCCACTGGAGCCATTTTCTGGGTTGTGCACTGGTGAAACAATGGAGATATGTCTCCAAACATTTGTTTACAATTTTGGTCTGGCCATCGTTTTGAGGGTGATAACCCGAGCTAAAACACAATCTGGACCCGTGGAGTTTAAAAAACTCATTCCAAAAAGAACTCGGAAATATAGTGTGAAATCCTATCCCTAGAATTTCACCATTTATTACGTATTTCGTATTTTAAATTCATATTTCGCGATTACGTTATCTTTACTAGTTAATTTTAATTCCGCTAATTATAAGTTTAGTAATTGATTAGTTATCGAGTTGGAAGTTTCATAGTCAATCTTTATCTTTTGTTGATATTTCGAAGTTACAACTAGCATTTTTAAACAGATCTCGAACGCACGAACGCATAGGCAAAAATCGTTTGCGAGTCCGAATTAAACGATATAGTTACAGACGTTTGAAGTTGTGAAACTTTAGGTTGTGGAAATTATTTAATTTCCACTGGAGGATTAAAGGCCCAAATATATAATTGGGTTAAAGGTAACCCGTTAGGGGAGGATGAAAAAAGGACGAATACGGGGGTGGACATTTTCTTTCCCCATTTCTGGAACCCGTGTACTCCATTGGCCATTTGGCAAAACCAGCCAACTTCATGCAAATTTCTACCATTTCTCAACTGATTTTCTTATCTCATTCACCTACAACCTGCTCAACTACCTTCCTCCTTCCACCTCCACCAAAAATCAAGGGTTTTTAAGGTCTAATTCGGGTAGAACTCCACCGGAGAACCTGGGGGTTTTCAACGATGATTCGTCATTCCGGTGAGTATCACCATTCACCATCACCCTTAATCAACTTCCCTTGGACCTAGGAACAAGACCCAACTGGTGGGTGGGGCGATGGAACACCAAGGAAGCCGAATTGAAGAACACCCACCTTAGGGTTTCAACGAGTGCAAGCCAATTTGAGGGCCTTCCCGACCAAATTGGACTAGGCCACATGTATAAAGTTTACTCTACTTGTTGAGATCTTCATTCTTGTAAAATTTGAGAATTTTTGGAAAAAAGTCGAATTTCCCGATGTATGACATTTGATTTATGAAAATGTTGTTGGTTGAGTATATTATCGATAAGGTCCACCACTTGATTCTTCTAACAATTGGCAATCTTACCATTGAATTGACACCTAATTTTAGTATGCTATGATAGATATTGTTTGAAGACCTTAGGAACTTACAAGTGAAAATCTAGTGATCAGATCTTACAGAATAAGTGACGTAAGATCATGGACCCTACCTTGGAATGACGGTTCAATTCCTCATTAAATGTTGTTATGGGAGACATATGAGAGTTTTTAAGTATGTGAATTATCGAAGGAAATCTAAATGTGGACTTGTACCTTGTTTAGGCGGTGATAGAACGTGATGCCTTGACTCTCATGCTAGAGTGCATTAGCACGGACTCCAGGTGAGTGACTTTATCATATGTGATATTGGTGATTACCTTGTTTTCGTAATGGTTATCTTGTGTGGATATGACTTGGTTATATATATATATATATGTTTTCTATTGAATTGTTATTTTTAATGCTTAGCCATTGATTCGAGTTATGAAATGAGAGTTGATATATGTATATTGAAATATGGTTTGATTTGTTGATTGGCTTGATGTGATGAAATGTGAAGGCTAGTGATGGGTCGTTAACCCATTGCGATGGGGATTTGTTGCTTCTATATTTTTTCATTTTCCGCTTCGTTGATCCGTTCTAAATTTAGTATTTGTGCTTTATTTCCCTTGGTTGAGCTTTTGTAAATTAAGTGACTTGTGCTCGTCTCATTCCTTTGAGCCGTTAAACATTATGGTTGTTGGCCTTCCGCGATTTCGTTGAGTGATGGTTCAGAATCGTATTCACTCGGATTCTGTTGAGAGATGGTTCAGAATCCCTCATACTTTACGATTCCGTTGAGTGACGGTCCAAAATCGTATTCACTCGGATTCCATTGAGAGATGGTCCGGAATCCCTCATACTCTGCGATTCCGTTAAGTGATGGTCCGGGATCGTATCCACCTTGGGTTTCATGTAGTTGAGATTGAGATAGCTTCAAAGGTGTAAGCTTCGGTCGAACCATGTTGCTTTAACCTTACTTTTCATTGTGTTGTATGAGAATTTGGTTATGAGATGTTGTGATGGTTTCAGACGAATCGTTGAATGTCTGAGTGACTCCTTCGGAGTTTCAAAGGTTTGGTATTGATTTCTCATGCATGATTTATATTCAAGGTTTATAATTGTCATTGATGGCTGGTTTTATGATTGTACCACATACTTTGTATTATTGTCACTCACACGAGCTTTGCAGCTTATTTGGGTTGATGTTTGCTGATGCACCATTCCGATTGTTACACCCGCCCCTAATTTAAATCGTATTTTTACTAAGTTTGAGTTTATCTTGTTTTTAAAATTGTTTTGGGTCTTAAATGGTGTGCCCAAGGGGCCCACCCCCTGTTTTGTCCCCCGTTCCCTTTCCCTTTCTTTTATTTATTTTCTTTTTCTTCTGAAAAGTCTCTCTTTCTCTCTTCTCCCTCTTCTCTCCCTCGGCACAACTCTCTCCCTCTCACCCGTGCCCTTCCTCCCTGCAAATCCTCACTTCCACACCACATCAATGAAGATGACAGCACCCATCACAACCTCTGCAGTTTTCTCTCACCCGTTGTAGAAAGGACGACGAAATCCCAGAAGCCTCCGACGAGCATCGCCCCTTTCGAGGCAATTTCCGGCCAAACTACGGCGATTTGGCCGGCGTAAAAGGTATCAATCTCTTTGTCTCGTCAAGTACTACAACTTTCCTTTTTGTTTCACCCAATTTAGTTGAGTATTGAAGAAGTTATACTCATTTGAATCTTACCCAGTTTCCGGCGAGTCCGACGGCTTTCGAGGCGTTTTCCGGTAAAACCACGGCGAGTTAGACGTCGTGTGAGGTACCATTCTCTTCGTCTCTTCAAGGGATACAACTTTCGTTTTTGTCTCGCTTGATTTCGTTGAGTTTTGACAAAGTTATGGCCGTTTAAAGATTGTGCATTTTCCGGCCGAATTCCGGCTTTCTCTCCCATTGGGTCCGGCGACCCACCAAAACCAAGCCCTTTGGGCCTTCCCTGCTGAGCCCAACCCTTTTGGTTGTGAGGCCTTTGGGCCATGTGTGTGTGTGTTTAGATTGTGTGGGTGTGTGAGTGTGTACCCGTGTGTGTTCGTATGTATATTTAGTGTGTGTGTGCTGTGTGAGTGTGTGAGTTTGTGTGTGTGTTTAAGTGTGTGTATATGCATGCCATGCATGCATGTGCATGTCGTGCATGTGTATGTGTGTTTGTGGTGTGTATGTGTTTGGGCTTAGGCCCAAACCCCATTTCTTCACCCTAAACCCTTTTAATCCAAAAACCTTAGGACCCTAAACCCAAAACCCAATAAATCCTAATCCTAGTTAACCTAAACCTAAACCCTAATCCAGATGTCAAGCCTAAAACCCATTTGACCTAATTTGACCGTTGACCCCCGGTCAACGTTGACTTTAGGGTGGACTTTTCAGGTTTTCGTCCGGAACCCTTCTTAGGGTAATTCGACGTTCTGAATCCGTTTCCAATGTCCGTTTTCCCAAATTCAATTATTATAATAGAGTTTTATTAATTAGACCCTTTATGTGCTTAGGGGCAATATTTGTGACGTTTTCGTGGTTGCTAGTTTGCGTGGCTCTTCGGCGGCTAAGTACTGTGAGTGGACCCCTTCTAAAATGCATGTTTTATAGTAGAAATGCATACATGAAAAACATGATTTGATGATTACGTTTTACGAAACGTTTTGTAAGATAACATGCTTACTGAGGCCACTTTGAATTATTACTATTTTTCCTATAACCCGTGTTCTTATAGAATATCCGATGGATGACGATATGATATTTAGAACATGTTTCGAACACCTCTTTATAGTATAGATGATGGATGACTTTATACTATGAAGTTGTTTTTCAATATATATGTTCAATGGTTTCGTACTTACCTAGTGGTCCTTTCCGCTACGGGACGTAGGGATAGATTCCGGTCCGTCCCGGGCGACGGTTTGGTGTTGGCATAGGGCCTGGAGTGTGTTTCCTCTGGCTATTTAGCACAGAGACGGGGAGCCGACATGGGGCCTGAAGTGTATTTTCCTCTGACTGTCTGCTCAGAGACGGGGAGCCGGCATGGGGCCTGGGGGTTATCGGACAATTCACTAGTGATTATTATATATGAGTTATGATTTGAGATACTGCACATCATGCTAGGTTTCGGAAAACCTATGTTTATCATTATATATGTGTTTTCATAAACCTGGGGGTTAGTACGTTGATAACTGTTTTATTATATATATATCAACTTGGTCCACTCATATTTGTTTTGCGCCCCCTTCAGGGCTTAGAATCGAGGCATACAATCCCGGCATCCAGGCACTTCCGCATCGACGTCTTCGAGTTCTTTTGGTGTGGGACCCATTCCTTTGTTCATCAAATTTTATATCGTTTTTTTTGTATTCTAGTTAGTCATATGCTTTGAACACGTTCCTTAAATGCTTATTCTTTTATATTTATAAGTCTTAGTTATCCTTTATTTTCAGCAATTGCATCAATAAATGGCTTTTGTCACCCTCGGGTGTCGGCCAGCACGTGCCTATCCTGGTATTCGGGGAATATCGGGATCGGGGCGTGTCACCGATGGTGTAGGCACTGATCATACAGGTGACAGGTTTGAGTAGACTCCGAAAAGTCTGTATGTGGGGGTAGCAGTGCGGTTATCAGAGACGTGGAGCGTTAGGTTACCCTTGATTCACTCTTGTGCTTTATCTTTTAGGACTTTCTTTTGAGCACTTCAAACTTGTTCTTAGTGAAGCAAAGATTATGCTTCTTTTTGGGATGTACATATTTGTAAATATCTTGTGAAGAACTTAGCCACCTTCTTTTTAGTTTGGGTTGCAGTTAAAGTATTTCATTCCGTATGGTACGTCATATTCAACGAATGTTTTTTTTTTCTTTTGCCACATGTCGATTTGCGACGTATGTTGGGATCGGGGTGTGACATATAGGGTCTCTATCACTTATTATGGAAGCTGGCATTCCATGTAATTTAAAGACATGATCCACAAACAATTGTGTTACAATAGCAATTGTATAAGGATAAGGTAAACCAATAAACTGAGCATACTTTGATAACGTGTCAATAACCACCATCATCATTGATTTTCCTTTGCAAAAGGGCAGCCCACTGATGAAGTCCATACTAATGTCTTGCCAAATGTTTTGGGGAATAGGTAAGGATTGCAAAAGACCCGACGGAGAGATGGTTTCTTATTTGTTTTGCTAACAAATGTGGCATTCAGATACAGACTTCCTGATATCAGATTTCATCCCCACCCAATAGAATCCCCTCTTTATCCTGTGATAAGTCTTGTGAACCCCTTCATGACCAATGATGGAAATTGTATAATGCTCGGCAATGACTTCGTGCCTCCAAGAAGAAGTAGGACTCAATACCACTCGAACATTGTACTTTAACAACCCATTATCAATGTGATACTTGGATTGTAATGTAGGATCCTTAGTAACGGTAGGAGACGATTCGTGAACCAACTATTGCACCTTCTGCACAATCCATTCATCATGTTCATTATATCGTCGTAACTCGTTCATCCAGCCCCCATAAGGATATGATATAGTCGTGCGCTGCCACTTCTGATCATCCAGAGACACATCATTCTAAGTTAAGGGAATAGCTCCAGCCATCCGAGATAGAGCATCAGCAGCTAAATTGTCATTTCGAGTTTTGTAGTGTATTTCATAATTGAAACCCAAGAGTTTGGTCACCCATTTTTGTTGAAATGAAGTGTGAGCCTTATTACTGAGAAGGTACTTGAGGATGTGATGATCTGTTCGAATCACAAAATGTCTGCCCTGTAAATAATTGTGCCACTTTTTTACTGCATATACAATTTCAATAAGCTTTCGCTTATAGGTGGATAAGGATTGATTTCGATGACCTAATGCTTGGCTAGATAAGGTAATAGGTCGACCTTGTTGCTGCAAAACTGCACCAACTCCTTGCCTCGAAACATCACATTAATCTCAAAAGGGATTGAGAAATTTGGCAAGGCTAGAACCTGTAGGGAAATCATGACCTGTTTCAAGTGACTGAAGGCATCTTGAGCACTTGAAGACCAAAGAAACCCGTCCATCTTGGTTAACTGGTAAAGGGGTTGGCATATCTTGTCGTAGCTAAGAATGAACTTCCTGTAACAACCCGTCAGCCCCAAAAATCCTTGTAGACTTTTCACATTAGTTGGAGTCAGCCAATCAACAATGGCCTGCAATTTAGAAGGGTCAGCAGCGACACCATCTCTAGAAACAATGTTGCCAAGGTACTTTACTTTACTTTGACCAAAGGAAGACTTTTGTTTCTTCATAAACAAGTGATGATTTTTCAAAATATGGAAAGTAATGCTCAGATGAGTGAGGTGATCCTCCCAAGATGTGCTATATACGAGGATATCATCAAACAACACCAAAATAAAGTGTCTAAGATAAGGTTTAAATATGTCATTCATGACGTTTTGGAATGTGGCAAGTGCATTGGTTAACCCAAATGGCATAACCAAAAATTCATAGTGCCCCTTATGAGTTTGAAAAATAGTTTTCTCAATGTCATCAGGGTGCATCCTGATTTGATGGTAACCGAACCTTAAGTCGAGTTTTTGAGAAAAATTTAGCACCAAACAACTCATCCAATAAATCATCAATCAAAGGTATAGGAAACTTATCTTTAATTGTGATAGAATTGAGTTCTCGGTAGTCCATGTAAAGATGCCAAGTACCCTCCTTCTTCCTAACCAATAGCACCGGGAAAGAAAAGGGGCTACGACTAGGGTGAATGAACCCAGATTGCAGCAACTCATTAACTATTTTCTCAATTTCGGTCTTTTGCATCGGGCCGTAGTGGTAAGGCCGAATGCTTAGGGGTTTTGAATCCAGAAGCATAGGGATATGATGATCATGAGGTCTCTCTAGGGGAAGTGCAATAGGGAGCACAAATAACTCATCGAAGTTCATTAATAATGCCTGCAATTCGTGGAGTTGAGTTGGATCAAGCTCAAATGCTTCCAACTTGTCTTTGTCTAACGAAAAGAGAAATAAGCCCAAGTTTGAAGTGTGAATTTCCTTGTCTAAATGCTGCAGAGATACTTCTTATAGAGGGTAAGAAGTTGCAGGTTTGTGAGCAAGTTTATAAGTGGCATTGTGCTTCTAGAATTCCATGGTTAAGAGGTGGAAATCTCATATGACAAGACTAATAGTAGATAACCAATCAACCCCCAAAACTAAGTCACAGCCACCCAAAGGTAAAGCATATAAGTCATGTGTACATTGATAACCTCCAATAAGAAGGGATACAGCCTTGATATAACCCTGACTTCTCATGTTTCCCTCATCAGCAATCATGACATTAAAAGGTTGAGTAGGCTGCAAGGGCCAACTCATGTTTTTGGCCAGTCTAGAGTCAATGAAGCTATGAGTGCTTCCTGAATCCAACAAAATTCGCACAGATTGTTTGCCAACTAAACCCTCCACCTTCATAGTTTGAGATTTATGTGGTAAATTGGTGCCATATAACGCACATTCGCTGAGTTACATAGTTTAGATTTCAGGTTGCAATTTAGAAGGCACATCCTCAAATTCATTGTTAGGCTCAATGAAATCAAGCATCAATAGTTGTTTCTAACAACATTTGTGACCTTTAATCTATTTTTCCACACAAAACCAGCACTTACCACGTTCTTAGTTTGTAGTTATCTCTTCAAGGCCAAGCTTATTCATAAGGAAATTACCAAATCAGTTGTAGAGGCAGTGGGAACAAAAGGGACAATTGCCTGATGTTTAATCTGTGAGAGAGGCCGCTGTGTACCAATTCGGAGTGATGAGAACTTATTGTCGAGTTGCACTGCAAGCGCAATCGCCTTATGCATAATTGTAGGCCTTAAAATCTTCACATCAAATTGCAATTCCTTTTTTAAACCGCCTAAGAAATAACTCTTAAACAGTTTGGGTCCAACACCATGAGTACGATTGGCCAAACGACGAAACTCAGTAATGTAGTTTTTGAGAATACATGTTTGACGAAGTTTGAAGAGAGATTCTGCACAATCCTCAAACTCAGAAGGACCAAATTCGGTGCAAAATGCCTGAGTAAACTTTTCCCAATGCAGTGTGGTGTGAAAGCAGTTCATCCAACAGAACCAATGCAACGTCTCCTTCTCCAGATGGAAAGAGACGATCAACACCTTCTGAGGACCAGCCAAAGTGTAATAATCGAAGAATTGCTTCGTCTTATAAATCCAGGTAAGTGGATCATCTTCCGGTGTGAACTTAGGAAAGTCAATCTGAGGCTGCCATAGGTGGCGTGGTTGTGGACCCCCGCCATCATAGATCTCCTGATGTTGTGGCCGGAATGGCGCATCAGTAGGAATAGGAAGATTTGGGTGGAGAGATGGAGAATCACAAATTGGATCGGAAGTGGAGCCGCCGACACCCCTAATCACCAGTTCGCGTCAAAATTGCTCGAAGCCCACAAGCAATTTATCATCCGTAGCCGCCGATTGTTCCCATAATGCCGCAACAATTGTAGCTTCAATGGCTGAAAAATGAGCATGGAAAAAGGCTTCGAGAGCATTAAAACAAACATCCATGGCAGCAGTGCGTGCAGCGTTCGAAGGGCGTGGCATACAAGGAAGGAGACCAGAATCGAGAGGATGATACCAATTATTATGACCCTAATCCAGATTCCTTACTCAACTTGCAAGTAGGAATAACTATGAAGATGAACACGAGAAGGGGAAGATGAGCAAAGCTTTTAAGATATTTTTGGAATAATGGTTTCTTTTTTATAAAATGATTCATAACATCCACATATCATTGTTTGGCAATACAGAGCCTTAATTCTTTGCTAGGTGGCGTAACTACTCACAAAGGACAAAAGGAAATAACTAATTCATAACTAATCCTTTATCAAACTACTAATTAACAATAATCCTAAGTGTGATTAAGGTAATCACAATTACAGATCATAACATTCATCTCATAATCATAAAGTTGGGAATTATTCGTTCTCCATCGTAATATTCTAATCTGCCAAAATCATTGAAATTTAGAAAGCCTTGTAAATATAGTCCATTTGCAACGAACATATAGTTTGGGAAATTCTTTCTCGATCGTCATATTAGTTATCCAATTTAATTGCTAAATCATCGAAACATAGAAAGCCCTTCAAAATATAGAGCATTTCTATTAATATAGAGAGTATCTATATTTTTATTACTAAAATGGGCTAAACCCTATACATAAGGAATAATATTTATCATACTTTCATAAAAAGATAAGAAAAAAAATGATGTGGATAATCGGTAAATGAACCTAACATACTAAAATGGACTAAACCTCGTAATGACTCACAAAACATTCAAATTAAGAAGGTTTCAATCTAAGATTTTGGTCTATCAAGGACGGAATCCAAAGTTTCCCAAAACAAAAGAAATAGTCATGACAAGAGTCTTCTCATCCACCACGGCA